AGCTTTCCAGTGTTTTACTTAGGCAGGTTTAACCTAAATTCAGACTCATTTAAAGATATTCAAAATTAACTGTGGGAGACATGTAAATGTCAAAAAATAAATGAGACCATAATAAACCCATTAGGATATATTTTTGATACATGAAGCTTCAAGACCTTGGTAATGTCAGAAAATGTAATTGAGACGGTTCTCATTTGTTTATACTATTAGCTTATGATGGGTGAACAATCCTAGACCATAAATCCAACCAAAGGTTCCTCTAGCCATTCCTGAAAAATGAAAGAAAGGCCATGGTATTTATGAGTGAACAAAAAGCAAACACATCCTCCTTCACATTCATGTACAAAATCAAGCTGGCTGGAGTTTGTGTTGGCATTGTTTCAGAACGTCTCATCCTCAGGAAGTACCTGTGAAATTCTCTACAATCATAAATCAGAATGTAAAGTCAACTACCTCGGGGCAGGATTAAGACTTCAGGAACACAAGCCAAGGGTAAAGAGAGAGAGAGAGACTACAATGAGTTCGTTACAGCTCCCTTTGGCGTCCCCACATCAACACTATTTCCACTTTTATATATGTTTTCCCACCCTTTGGAGAAATAGAGGCAGCCATAAAATGATCTAGTGCACAGGTGGCAAACACAAGGCAAATCTGGCCCTCCACCTTGTTTTATGCAGCCCAGCACCTTATTTCTACCAGGCAGCAGTGCTGAGCTATCACTTAACTGTTTAGGAGTAGTTGCATTTGTACAGTCCTAAAATTACATTCAGCCCTTTGAAGGCAACCAGGAGGCTGATGTGGCTGGCCCCCAGTGGAAATGAGTTTGACACCCCTGATCTAGTGTTTACCACCTGGGTAGCTAGATGAAACTATCTGAAATTCCACTAAGCTATTACAGAGAAAGGAATCAAGTGAAAAACAGAAAAAGAACACCAAAGACAAAGAAACCATGGGAGAAATGGATAATGAAGAGATATATAATATGGGGATATAAGGAGGGTCCTAGAAAGTACATGAGGATTTTATTAAACCACACTAATTTTAAAAGCATGCAACTCTTATTCTTCACTTAGAAAGTCATCATATCCAGCGGGAGAAAATAAAATCTGAGATTAGTGCTGTCCTAAAATAACACCTATTTCTTTCCATAGGGAATTGTTTAATTAAATGAAGATCTATCACATTGGGATGAACCATATGAAATTTCCTATTTTTGTCGATTTTTTCCAGGTTTACTGAGATGTAATTAACAAGTAATATTGTACATACTTAAAGTATACAATGTGATAAGTTAACAGACATACACACTGTGAAATATTATCAAAATTAAGTTAATTAATATATCCATCATCTCACAATGACCTGTTTTGTGTGTGGTAAGAGAATGTTTAAAGTTGTCCTGGCTGGTGTGGCTCAGTGGATTGAGTGCCAGCCTGTAAATCAAAGGGTCACTGGTTCAATCCCCAGTCAGGGCACATGCCTGGGTTGCAGTCCAAGTCCCCAGTTGGGGGGAACATGAGAGGCAACTACACATTGATGTTTCTCTCCCTCTTTCTCCCTCCCTTCCCCTCTCTCTAATAATAAAAAAAGAAGAAGAAGAAGAAAACAAAAAGAATGCTTAAGAACTAGCCTCTTAGCAAATTTCAAGTATACAATATAGTGTTATTAACTAGAGTCACTATGTTGTACAGCAGATACCCCAAATTCACTCATCTAATAACTGAAAGTTTCTACTCTTCGACAGGGACCTACTCATGTCTCCCACCTCCCAGCCCCTGGCAATTACCATTGTACTTTTGACCATTTCTGGCTACCAACATAGCAACTGCACTTAGTTCAACCTAATATAATGTAATACTTTGCCATTAGTAAAAAGAAATTATCTCCATATCATATTTCCAAACAAACAAGACACAGCATGTATATAGAATGTTCCCGTTAGTGTTTTTTAAAGAAATATGTGTATGTGTATAAACATTTTCTAGAAGCACACCAAGAAAATGTCCTCTGAGAGGGAGAATAGAAAGTCTGGGGTGATGGGAGATTTCATTCAATATCCTCCATTCACCAAATATCCTCTCTCACACTCTTTGAATGCCTTATATGATGAATTACTTTTTCGATTAAAAAAAAGTCTAGACATTTTTCAAATACCACAATAAATTAAGTTTCCTTACTAACATTCAAATTATTTAAACATTAACCAGTATTTACAATAAAAGATAACACTTCAAATAAGGTAATTACTTAAAGTTAGTGGCCTTTTTTCACTCCAAACCTAAATTAGATGCCTAATAGTTTTAGGACCCTAAGGACTTTAATGGCAACTAAAATAAACACTACTCTTAACAATAATATCTCTATATATGAAGCATTATATGTAACTATATACCATGTACAGTCATTCATTTAAGAATTTTTTATCTGTGTATAACTCATTCTGCTGTAAGCCCTCTGTACATCTATGCATAAATGCTTTACAAAGAGCATACATATGCATACTATAATATACAAGCATGTATACATGTACATAGGTATGTGTACATGTGCTACACATGCCATCTCAGGCTACTACTCAACCAGGATCAAAGATGTGACTAGTAACCCCAACCTGTCAGACATGATGGCCTCTCTGTCTATGTTCAGGATGTAGGAGAAGAACTACTGCTGTCTTAAAAACCAGTAGGTCTTGGCTTAGTCCTAAGGCCTCTTCTTCTCCAGGATCTTACATATTCTGTGGAAGAGATCAAGCAAGTATCTGTCTTTTTCTAAAGATCTTTTCCCTTAACTGTTATCTGGATCACAATCAAGACTGGAAACCAATATTAAATCTAACAGTTCTCATTCTATTAATTCCCTCACTCTTCTTGCCCTCTTCCCTGAGAATCAGCATACATGCTGAAGAAATGCAACAGACGAGATCTGTGGCATACATGAACAGTCTGGATTGGGAGATATGGGCAGGCAGGGAGGCTGAGGCTCACTGCTCTGAGCAGTTTTAGGCCCTGGTCTCAGGTGTGTTTATATGAAAATACTGATTAACTTACATGCACTTATACATGCCAAAATAAACTTCAAAATTTCTGAAATTACATACATGTCGGGAATTTTAAGATTTTATTTATTTATTTTTAGAGAGGGGAAGGGAGGGGAGAGACAGACACTTCAATGTGTGGCTGCCTCTTGTACGCCCTCTACTAGGGACCTGGCCCACAACCCAGACATGCGGCCTGACTGGGAATGGAACCAGAGACCCTTTGGTTTGCAGGCAGGCACTCAATCCACTGAACCACACCAGTCAAGGCACATGTTGGGAAATTTAAGGAACATTTCATTTAAGGAGCACTAATGATCTATATTCATAGCAAAATATATGTGTTCAATATTTTTATCACAAAGATGAGAAACTAACAATAAATGTGCTTTCTGAATTTACTCTTAGTCTCAATTAACATGCTTTTCCCCCATACCATAGGTAATATCAAACTTACAGAGTAGCTATTACTCTTTAAGCTGTTACTATGAGTTCGCAAAATCTACAAATTTTAGTGTACTCCCAATAAATTTGTTGTTTTACTGTACTCAATTCAAATTAGAGCCATCTCTAAATTTTCTTTCAAACTGTATAAATTTACTGGGTAATCTTAATATAAGTATGCATGGAATGTTAACTTTATATAAATACATAAAATATACTATTTTTAAAAACCTGCCATTTTGCCCATCAATAACAATTTTATGAACTATTTTTAAAAATTAAGATTTCAAATGTTAATGAGACTGTTAGGAAAGTTCCTATCTTGTTAGCCTTAATCTTCTAAAGACATATTAAACCCCATACCCTTAATTTATCACAAATGATATAAAATTCAGAAGTATCACTATTAAAAAGAATTATAAGCTAGACTCTTAAAAAATTACTAGAGCAATCCTTTACTTTTTACTAACAATAATGTTAAAAGCATGTGTTCTTATATTTATTTTAGAAAAACAGGAGGCAGTCTAATACAAACGTGAGTCCATAGGAATATACTAACAGTTATGTTTTCAAATAGGATCTATTGACCTTAGAAAACAAATTCTAATAAACATATAGAATAAATTAACCTTTGCATAACACAAATCCAATGATTTTATTAGTTTGTCTTTCAAATTCCTCATTAAAGTCTCCCAGGGATAACAGACTCTATGCAATGGTTTTTAAACTATGATGAAAATTAGAAAGTATAAATTATCCTTCAGTCCTAAGAATTTGCTATGTGTATGTTCACAACCAAATGAAAACTCTCAACTTTGAGCTCTGACAGATCAAAAGTACCTGCTAGATAACAAGAGTAAAGCATGCTAATCTCCATATAATACAAAAATACTACCTTTCACTATTAAAAGTAACCATAGGTATGTTGGTAAAATCTGAACTACACACTTAATGGGAAACAACTGGAAAGCCTGGCCTGCTGCTACTTGAAAAGCGCAGGGTGCGGATAACCAGGAGTATCTTTTACCAGTGGCGTCGCACAAGGCGTTCACCTTCCAAACCGAGACAGGAGGCGAAAGGCCTGTGAGGTGTCACCTCCCCACCCTGTAAAAGTGGGCCAGAGAAGGGGCAGACTGCTGCCCGCAAGAAGCGAAGGTGAAGGGGCACTGCAGCCCTGGCTCCTAAGCCTGCCCTCTTCTCCCTGCACAACGCAAAACACTCCACAGAACTACTGCTCCGCCGGGAGGATCAAAAATAAAGACTCCTTTTAAGTTCCCCGAGCAGGAACTCCACAGCGCCTCTCTTTTTCCCACGCTCCTGCAGAGCCGCAGCTCCAGGCGCCTGAACCCCCTGGAGTCCATCCCTGCTGCCTCCTACTGGCGCCCGGGAATCCCTTCTAGTGGCGCCTCGGTCCCCCACAATTGCCGGAGCGCCGGTGCGCTCCCGCACCCCAGGCAGCGAGTCTCTTCCACTCCCGGCCCCGCCGCGCCCGCCTCGTACACTCCCCTCAGGCCCGCCTCACCTTGGTCCGGATCTGCCCCGAGGTCGACACTTTGCGGATCAGTTTCTGGGGTCCCTCTTGCTCCGCTTCGCTGTCAGACGAATCCTCTCCGGGACCTGCGGAGGCAGCGGCGGGGGTGATCACAGCACTAGCCCCGGCAGCCGCTCCTCCTGCGGCCCCTGGAGGGGGGTGCTGGCTGCCGGCCCCGGCCATCCTCTCCGACTCCTGCGGAGACACAGCACCGCCCGGAGGGGGCGGCGGCGGAGGTCAGTGGGTGGGCTCTGCCCTGGCGGGGCCTGGAGTCCCGAGCAGCTGCCGCCGCCATTTTCTGCTCCCCCAGAGGGCGCAGCGGAGGAAGGGTCTGCGCGGCTCAGGTGCCTGCCCGGCCCTCCACCCGGCTCTGGCCAGACTTGGGACCCCTGCGCACCCAGCCTCGAGATGGTATAGGGGTCCTGACCTGTAATACGACTAGCGCGGGTAGAGGGTAAAAGTGACTGAGGGAAAAGGACTTCCCACTTCCCCCAGGGTCTGGGGTCCCCAGGATGGACGCGAGGGTGGGGGGAAGAGGGAAGAGGGGGACGTGTGGGTGGAGAGAAACCCCCGCAGTCACCCCCAGAAAGCCCGACAGTACCGACGCCCCGTCCCTGGTTCACAGGCAGCAGAAGTAGAATGGCCCATGGGGTAGAAAAGGAACCTAGAGTTTCTTCCCCACCCTTTTGGGTGCACCCCACCACCTCCTGGTCCCAGAACCTCCCCAGAGACACTTGGACCTCTACAAAGAGCTCCCACTAGATAAAAGTCGCATCCGCCCCCAAAATGCATGTACCATGCCCCTTGCCTGTCTCACGACCCCCCAGCCTTCCTCCAATGAACCACACCTCTCCCGTCTGGGGTTCAGGTCCTTTTCAGCGCTACCGACAGTGGCATTCAGTTTCTGGGCTACCCCCACTCCCATCCGGTACACACGGAAGAAGAGCATTTTCCGGGAGGTTCCACTCCATTCTGATAACTTTTCGTTCAGAAAGAGCGATGCCTTTGGCTAACAGGAAACTGGGAAAGACGGGAGAGAGAGCAGAAACAACAGAGTACTTGCAGTCCAAGACGATAGAATGTAAAATAAAGGTCTAAGCTGAAGCGCTACCCGTGGCTGCCTAGAAGAAAACAATGCACCGGAGCCATGTGAATACCAGTGCCCAAGCACGAAAACACTGGAAGTCCTGGGAGAGCCACTCCCTAATCCGAACTAGAGCAGAAGGAAATGGGATCAACAGGCTACAGCTACTGCTGACAACTCGTCCCAAGCGAGTTGGATAAACCAACACTTGGGAATAGCAGCCTCGAGGGCCAGTTGTGCGTGCACCGAGTCAAAGAACTCATGCAGGTATGGGACGCTGGGAGGACCTAGGGGAGAAAATACAAAAATTAGATTCTTGTCGTCCACAGGGAACTACAAATTGGTGTTAGCTAAATTTTAAAGTCCACGACCGGCAAAAAAGTCCCTGCCAGACGGTGGAGTCCCTTCACATTTCCTTAAAGCAATCTTTCATTTGTCCATGGGCCTTCAATACCCATTTGTATTTTTTCAGTTGTCATGACCTACTTTTTCAGTTAATACAACCTTTAACGGTAGTCCAAACTAAGATTTTATTGGATATTTTTAGTTGCAATACTACTCCCAATAATTTTATTGCTTTGTCAAAAAAACCTAACAGTTCTAAGAGATTTTAAGAAAGTTTCAATCCCAATGCTGTATATACACACTGTAGATGAAATTCATCGATACTTTAAAAAATGCTGGTTTGTTTGAATCTTCAAAGACAGAAAATTGCCAACAGGCAGTACTAATTGATAGAGGTTACTTCTGCAGCTTCAGTTGTCTTCTTTAGTCAGGGAAGGAGTTGGGCAAAATAAACTTTAGGCACTTTTATATCTCTGTAATTATGTAATTCTATCTACAAGGAATATTACTAAGCAAAAATAAGAGAAAAAATAACAAATCCAAATAATGGCCTTTATCCCAACCTAGCTCTTTGCTCACTGGTAAGCCCAGTGGTTCCACAATGTGGACAAGAACACCTAGTAAAGGGCCCTTTGAAAGAAAAAAAAACTTAGTTCAATCCTCTTTTAATTAAAATAAAGAAACTGAGGCCCCAAATGAAGAACTGGAAGCAAAGTCAAAAATCTCATGATTCTTACCCTGACTGGTGGCTCAGTGGGTTGAGTACTCTCTCAAAATGGGAAAGGTCTCAGTTTGATTCTGATCAGGGCATATGCCTGGGTTGCAAGCCAGGTCTCCAGTTAACAGGTGCAGGAGAGGCAACCAAGCTACTGATTTATGTTTCTCTCCCTCTCTTTCTCCCTCCCTTCATCTCTCTCTAAAAATAAATAAATAAGATCTTTAAAAAAAATTGTATGATTACTATTCTAATGTTCTAGTCACTTAACTAAGCTATATATCAGGAGTTAGTCTTGTCAATTATGTTTCTATTCATACGTAGGCTTTCAGGTTTTATATAGTAACATTCTTCCAGAATCTAGGCAGAAAAAGGGTGATTAAACTGAAAGGCATTGTTTAATACCCATGCCTATTCATTCTGTGATCTTAAAGAGAGAATTGAATAAACCTCTTACTCGGATTCAAACACAGTTACTGCTTAAATATATTTTAAAAGTTTCAAGTACAAGAGCTGGACGATTAATACCTCAAAGTAAAGGTAGTCATTACTTCATAAACATGTAACCCTACAGTTATCCCTGCTCTTCAAAGACTCCTGAAACAAGTTCTAAAACTTGATTGTGACTTTGAAAGCACAGCCAGTCTTAGCCTACTCATGCTAAATAAATGATCCCTGCTCTACAATTTCCCTAGCACATAGAACGCTCAGAGTGGAAATACTGTGTAGGAAGGAATGTCACTTCATTTCCCACAAAAGACAGCTTATGAAAATACCCTTTTTTCTTCAGGCATCTCTACTGAAGAGTAATTTTTTTAGTAATCCCTAACTTAAGGTACCTGACCCACTAGCTTCTTCTCAGGTCTTGTCTGTAAATTAGAAGTTTCCAAAATGAACAACCCATCTGTATACTGTCTATCTGCAGTGCTTCCTACTTCCCTTAAAATGTAATAGCAATGTCAAGAACTCAATATTTTCAACCATTTTAATGCAGCTCAAAATGGCAACTGACATGAATTTCAAATATGCAGTATATTACATTACTTCTTTGACGTACATGGCTTCCTTGGCATTTTTCTTGGTATTTTCATATTTTCAAATAATTTCTTAGATGTGTCTTACATAATTCTTTTATTATTGTTACTTTGAAATCTTTGGAACGTACCACAAAAACACTATTGAAAACTTGGACATAAGCCATGCAGACACCGCATTTAGGACAAAATGGAAATAGAAGGTACCACAAAATCAGGTTTCTACTCAAAAGGGCTTCCTGCCCCATTAAAAAAAACCCCACTACACTGGATATATATAATAGCCAGTTTTCTCATACCAGCTTTATAAATATTAGCATGTTACTATCTATAAACATTTTGAACTATTATTGATCATTATAACAGAGGTTTGTTATCTATTTGTGACTTTTTAATCCTGTATGTTCTATGGCTTTATGTTAAACATTTTACCATAAACATGTAGAAGTCTACATTTGTATCCTGAAGAACCCAAGTAGAACTTTAAAAACAGACATGTTCTGAGACTCACGTTCCTAACCAACGGGAATCATGCAAAGAACACTGCAGGTTGAACCAGTACAGGCCTGGTTTCATCCAAACCTCAAAACTACTTCCGTAATACACTATCTGTTATACATTTAGAATTTAACATTCAAAACTTTACTGTACTGAAGTAAAGTTCATTCAGGTACTTGTTACCTGAATGAAAAAGATTGAGATTAATCCTGAAATCAACTGCATGTATATATGTGGTCAGCGCTCCACCTAAGGTAAAATCCTTTTGTCATCTAGACCTAATGCATAAATATACATATAACCTCTCATTTATATTTTGGCCCTTTTTTCTTTGAAACTCTTCCTGCCTAGTTTTCCATGAGTTCTGAATAGTTTCATCAGAGCCAACGAGATATAAAAATCATTGGACAACTCTAACCAATGTGGCTCAGTTAGTTGGCTAGGCATCTTCCCACAAAATGTCAAGTTGCCAGTTGGATTCCTGGTCAGGGCTTGGTCCTGTAGGAGTGTTTAGGAGAGGAACCTGATCGTTGTTTCTCTCCCTTCTCTTTCTCCCTCCCTTCCCCTCTGTCTAAAAATAAATAAAAATAAAATCTTTTCAAAAAATCATTTAGACATTAAAAAAAAATTTTTAGTAAGTAAAATATACCCCAAGATCACTCTATTGCCTAAGAACCACTTTGCAAATGCTCCCACACTTTTTAAGTTTTGGCTATTATTTATGAGTAAGGGTTGTTTGGCTATCTTCCTACCCACTTATTCCCACAACCAAAGTATTTTTTAATTGATTAGAAATTTAGGTAATGCCTCTATTTCCACTAAGTTGACTACATTCTGAAGCTAGCATTAAAGAAAATAGAGATACCTGAATGCTAACATTTATCTTCTTTCAGGCCCAACACCCTAGGTAATGATATGGCTAGCCATTTATTTATATGCCCTCACTTAACTAAATAACCTAATTTCACCTTCAAATAAAAGAACGCCACAGACATGAATACATTTCAAGCAATAAGTGCTATTCTCTTTACTATTATTCACCATCAATTCCTAAGGTTATGTTTACTTTTCTGTGAATAGTTCCATGTAGAATCAAAACATCCTATTTTAGATTCCACCAAAAAAAAGAACAAAAATAAATCCTTAAATGTATGATGTTATATGCAACATGGGATAATGCAACAGGATCTACATGTGAACACTGCCTGTTTGATATTGGATAGCCCAATATCAAAATCTGTATGTTTAATTTTCATAAATATAAATGAATATACTTTTATAGTAGAGTATTGCCTACATTTGAATTCTATACACCTATATTAAATTATAAAAGCAAATTTGAAATGACTGTGAAATGGATACGAATCAAAGCAGGTGTTTCCAACCCAAGGTCTCGGAGGGTCCACAGACTAGGCTTCAGTAAATCTGTGTTTCTCCTGAAATTCTATTTAAAATTTAATATGTATGTGATATAAGAACATTTTGGGGAAAGAGTCTATGCCTTTGATTAGATTCTTAAAGATCACTGATTGAGCCCTTCAATGTCCAAGGAAAGTTCAAGACTGCCTGATTATAAGGGATTTTGTGTACTTTGAAAACATATTTAACCTGGTATTTCATCTGTAAGCTCCAAACAACTGAAATAATTAACATTTAAATACTCTTCTTTCCCTAATTTATCCCTCCTTGTACATGCCACTTCTCAATAATTTGGATAACTTACTTTTTTAAGAACTTAAATCCACTTTATTAGTTCTTAGACTCTGTAGTCATACATGTATGGCCACAGTTTCAAATAAAATCACTTTGTCAAAAGTATCATTTTATGCAACATACCTGAGATCTCTGAAGATGCTTTTTTGTCCTATCTCAATGTAAACCATTAACATATATGAAACAAGACACTGTTTAGTTAAGAATATACACTCAGGATTTAAGGATTGGTGTCTATGCTGTTAGCTGCTATATTCAACAGTCCTGAAACATGATAGGTGCTGGATAAAATATCTGTTGAGTTAATAAAAGGCCTTCTGTGTTAAAAAAAATAAATAAATCTAACTTTTAAGAAGAGTTCTGCAGTCTGGATGAGTGTCACAGTTCACTCACACATTTGTATTAGGGCTCAAGTTTTAAAAGGTAATAAATAAGCATTTTCATTTTTGTCATTTTGAGATGTAAAACAAAACAAAAATAAGTTTCTCTGTATATTTCTAGGCACAAAGTAGTTCTGGCACTGGCACCCTAAAGTAAAATGGATAAAACTGGGTATTTTCCATTGTGATTGGTGGAGGCTTAAAGTATCGAGATCCAAAAGGACTTTATATAAGAAAGTCTAAAAGTAAAAAAGTAACAAAAACAGGTCACTGAATTTAGTTCTCAATGATCTTTCATTTAAACTTAAAAACTAAATTCTGTATTTAATTTCAAGATAATTTGATCCCCAGTGATAATCACAATAGAACATGAGCAGATGGGCAACCTAACAACATGTTCAAATTTACAAAAGCAAAGACAGCTGCAGATGCAAAAGGATCAGAGTCCAAGGACACTCATCAAAGGTCGGGAAGCAGGGGACAAAGAACTTTGTACTCTGGGCAGAGAAGGTGGGAGTGTGCATATTATAAAAGGAAAAGGAGAACCAAGCCTAGCACCTAACTTAGAAGTTCTCAGCAGGCAAGGGGCCAGCCTGAGAAGACACGCGAAGTCCCTGGGAAAAAGTATCTGAACCCGTTAAAAAAGAGCATGGGTGAGCCCAAAAATTTCGAACAAGACTTTTCAGACAGGTTCAAGAATTTCACCAAGGCGGAGTAGCAAACATTGAGGCACAGCGTGGAAAACCAAACTTTGATGCCAGGGAAAAGGCAGCCCACATACGCTTACAGAGCTCTGAGTGAGATGGGGATTCCGGGGTAGAATCCCTAGAGGACTGTGAGGTGGTTTTGTCAGGGTTGGAA